CCACCAGCCAACTTGAACCCAAAACCTGAACCAGCATCCACAGCATCCGACCTTCTCCCAGATACCCCCCAAATACCCAACCAATACAAAGACTTGGCTGAAGCATTCAGTGAAAAGGAGTGTAATGTTTTACCTCCACATCGATTCACTGATTGCGCCATAGAATTAGAACCTGGGGCGAAACTACCAAAACCAAAGATGTATTCCATGACACCTGCTGAAATGGCTGAATTAAGGAAATACATCGACAACAATTTGGACTGAAGTTTTACTGAACCTGCCAAATCGAGGTTAGCTGCCCCCATGTTGTTCAAAGCAGTGATCCCCAACCTTTTTTATGCCGCGGCCCGGTACCGGCATCAGCTGGGCGCCGCCATCTTTTTTTTATGAAAAAGTGCTTCCGGTGAGCTTTCTACCCGGAAAAGCTCACCGGAAGCACTTTTTCATAAAAAAAAGATGGCGGCGCCCAGCAACCAGCGGCCCGGTAGGAGTTGTTCCGCGGACCGGTACTGGTCCGCGGACCAGTGGTTGGGGACCCCTGGTTCAAAGAGAAGGATGGTGGGTTGAGATTATGTGTGGACTTTAGGGGCATAAACGCTGTGTGTGTCAAAAACATGTACCCTCTCCCCCTCATGAAGGACTTATTAAGCCACCTGTCAAAAGGCAAGGACTCCCTCTCTCCCTCATGAATGACTTATTAAGCCACCCGTCGAAAGACCAAGCTAGATCTGAGAGAAGCTTACTAGCAGGTCCGCATCAAAGAGGGAGACTGCCCTTTGGGTAGTTTCCAATTCAGAGTCATGCCTTTTGGACTTCAAGGGGCTCCCGCAGTATTTATGCAACTCATCAATGAGGTGCTACACCTGCACCTTTACTGGGGGATCCTCGTATACCTGGTGACATCCTTATATTCAGCGAAACCATCAAAGAACATGTCCAATTGGTCAGACAAGTCCTAGAAAAACTTCTAGCTGCCAAATTATATGTAAAACTCTCAAAATGCGAATTCCACAAAGAGTCGCTGGATTATTTAGGCTACCGAATATTCAACCTGGGGATTGAGATGGACCCTGGAAAGGTGAAAGCCATGTTGGACTGGCAACCCCCCCAAAACCGAAAACAACTTCAAAGTTTTTAAGGTTTTGCCAATTTCTATAGACAATTCATTTCTTCCTTTGCCGAAGTTGCCCTCCCTTTAATGGAGTTATTGAAAATGGGCCTGTTATCCAAACTGAAGCCCAGTCAACCCTTGGTTTGGACCATGGAGTGTCAGAAAGCTTTTGAAACCTTGAAACGCCTCTTTGCCGCTGAGCCCATCCTCCAGCACCCAGACCCGCCCAAACTTTTTATTGTCCAAGCTGATGGAAGTGATGTAGCAGTAGCAGCTGTTTTGCTACAAAAAGACTCAGAACCGACTGATGCCTTGTGCTTATGTGTCCAAAAAGCTAACGGACACAGAGCGAAGATGGGCGGTCTGGGAGAAAAAAGCATTTGCTGTACGATGGGCTTTGTTGACTTGGAGGCATTTCCTAGAAGAGGTGAAGGAGCTGTTTGAGGTATGGACTGATCACAAAAACCTCGATGCTCTAAAGACCCCTAAGAGATTATCCCCTAAACAAGTTTGCTGGGCTCAATACTTCAAACGATTCAACTTCCAACATGAAATATATCCCTGGAGGGAAAAACATATTGGCAGACGCCCTGTCCAGAAAACCCCAGTTTGATAGCCATCGAGAGATTGTACAAGCCTTAATATCAGGAGCTCAAGCGGTGGGCCAAGTAACCACTTGAAGCCAAGCCAACCGCAACCACAAACGCCTAGAAGACAAACTGACCATGGAATTGAAAGCTGCCCTATTGACCGATCCATGGTTCCTGGATCATCAAACCGAATTAATGATGAATGAGGACTAGCTTGGAAAAGGACTAAGCTTTATGTACCCACAACCCTAAGACTACTGGTGCTAAAGTGTAGCCACAACTCGCAGCTAGGGGGGCACTTCAGGTTCTTAAAAACCCTATATTTACTAAGATGACAGTTCTGGTGGCCAAAAATGAAACCTGATGTCAAGGACTACGTAAAAAGTTGCTCAATTTGTGCCATGATGAAACACAGAACTGGAAAACCCACTGGCCTCCTCCAACAAGTCACTGAACCAACACAGCCATGGAAAGAGGTCGTAGTGGACTTTATCGTACAACTACCTAAGAGTGGAGGGAATACAATCATTTGGACTGTCATTGACTTGATCTCTAAGCAGGCCCACTTTACAGCCTGTAAAGGACTTCCATCTACAAAAAAGCTTGCAAACCTGTTAGTAAAGCATATCTATAGACTACATGGAGTACCTCGTAGAATAATATCTGACAGAGGGGTACAATTTACTGCTAAGTTCTGGAGAGAATTCTTGAAGTCTATTGGGTCCTCCCAAGGGTTATCCTCCACATTCCATACGGCCTGCAACGGACCAGCAGAACGGGCAAACACCATGGTTGAAAAGTACCTAAGATGTTATGTAGATTATCAACAGGAAAACTGCGCTGAATTATTACCATTTGCAGAGGTTGCTCATAATAATGCAGTACATAGCAGCACGGGCCTGACTCCATTCCAAATCAACACTGGGATGGATTTTGTCCCTATGCCAGAATTGCCTAAAGAACCTACTACATCCATGTCTCTAACAGAATGGATGAACTCATTAAAAAAAGGTTGGGAGGATACAAAAAAAGCTTTGACTGAAGCTGCAAAAGATTACAAAAAGTATGCGGACAGACATAGATCCCTTCAACCACCGTTTAAGGTGGGAGAGAAAGTATATTTGTCAACCAAGAAACTTTAATTGAAACTTCCTAGTAAGCAGTTGGGACCAAAATTCTTGGGTCCATTCCCGATTTCGAAAATAATCAATCCTGTCACAGTCCAATTAAGTCTTCCTCAACTATTAGGGAAAAGTTTTCCATAGTAGTTTATTAAATCCAGTTTCTACATTATTGATAAGTCCAAATACCACTTTGCTCCCCCTGAACCGTTAACTATACAGGGTTAGACACATTATGAAATTTAAAAAATCCTCGATTCTAGGTTATATCGAGGACAACTACAATATTTGGCTTTATGGAAGGGTTACCCACTATAAGATTTTCCCCACAAACCGAAACATCCTTGTGAGGTGGGGGGTGGGTGGGTGTTAAGGACAATGCATTAATCCCTGATTGTGTTTTGTTTTTCTTTTCTTATAGAAGGAATTTTCAAGGGGGGACACCTGTCAGCTCTGGCATTCATCGCTGTCAAATAGTTGAAGAATGTGTGTAGGGGGTGATGTAATAGAATAATTCTTAGAGGGAAAAAAGTATGTCGCAGTTGGAAATTTCAGCTGCAGAGTAATTGGTTCACGTGATTAATGAGGTGTAGAAAAGTGAGTGGGGATAGATTGAATTTTGTGCGAAGTCTGGGAGTAACTTCAGTGCTGAAATTTCAAAGACTTTACCAGTACCTGTTTTAATAAAGAACCTTAAGATGATTCCTGTCTCGGAGTTAATGATTAATTCAGACAATTTCTGGAATCCTGACATCTAGTATTGTTGGTTTTGATACAGTCAGCACGGTAGTCAATGTACAGGTCCTTCTCTCCATTGTCTAGATGTTTTTTGAGTTCTGTGCGGAGTTCACAGGAGCGGACACGTTGCTCTAAGCTTAGGTCAGGGCGAGAATGGAGGTTCTTATGGTTGGTGTTGCTTTTGGCGAGTGAATTTATAGTATAAATGAATTTATGTTTGCTAGATTCATTTTTGCAAATGACCCTGCAGAAGCGTGGGGCCACCGAGCCATCTCCATTTTTTTAACTCTGGGCCGATGCGGGAAATGTCAAGTATTTCATCATGGGAGATGGTTGATGCTTGATAGTCACTGATGATGTTGCGGACAATTGTGATGTCATCATTGTCATTGATGTCTAGTCCAAATAAAATGGCGTTTGGATGCTTCCATTCACACTCGACACCTTCTCTGACGAGGATTGGGATATCATTATTTGTTGGATTTGTGGTTTTTTGTGGATTGGGTTGCAGTTGCTGGGTAGATATGTGGTTTCTAGCTATTGGATGTTCAGGTTTTTGTGTTGTGTCTTTTTTTTCAAGGTTAATTAATCTTTCTTTTAAAGTGTCCAGGGATGCTACTATGGTATCAAGGGATGTTATTTGTGTGTCCATGGCATCAACTCTTTCAAACAGGGCAATATATTTGTCCAAATACAAATGTGTTTGTTGGATTATATTACTTTTCTCTCCCCTCCCCTCCTGGCTGCTTTCATCTGCATTGGGCTTATCCTACCTTTCACATGGCAAACTTCCTGGCGCATTTGTGAGGGTGTCAAAAAGATGGCAACCAGAGCAGTGTAATAAAGTTTTTCTCTTCGTTGACATGCAGGAAATATTTGACACGCCTACAAAAATCCTAGCTTCAATTGCACTGCTGCAGGCATCATTTTTACTTATTTGACAAACACACATACACAATTGCTGCTACTTCCTTCCTTGGCTTACAACAGTTCATTTAGTGACCATTCAAAATTACAATGACACTGAAAAAAATGACTTATGACCATTTTTCACACTTACAACTGTTGCAGCATCCCCATGGTCACATGATCAAAATTCAAATCTTTGGAGATTGGTTCATATTTATGACAGTTGCAGTGTTGTGCAGTCACGTGATCAGCTTTTGCAACCTTCTGACAAGCAAAGTCAATGGAGAATCTACACTCACTTAATAGCCATATTATTAACTTAACAAAAGCAATTATTCACTTAACATCCATGGCAAGAGAAATCATAAAATGGGGTAAAACTCACTTAACAAATGTTTCACTTAGCAACATTAATTTTGGGCTCAATTGTGGTTGTAACTCGAGAACTACCTGTAATTATTCATGCATGTGGTAATCTTGATGTAAGCAATAACTATGGAGAAAGTTAAATAGAAATTTCTCATTACTTACCAAGCGTTACAATTTTGATAATCAATGCAATTATAATGAAAACCAATACGATAATAATACAGATGAGCAGAGTAACTGTTTTGTTGTCTGAAATGCATTGAGGTATGCAAGCTGAAAAACAAACAGGAAAATATCAGGGGATGAAGTTCAAGATTTTATTGTGGCTGTTTATTTATTTATTTATTTATTTATTTATTTATTTTGTTGTCTTGTAAGCTGCCCAGATCGTAGTCACACTGTGGTGGCTTTATAGGACAGAGAGACACTATGGCACACTTAGACAGACAGGTGAACAGACAGAAGGAAAGCATCAGCTACTCTTAATGCCAGAGACTTTTCACATTTACCCCAAATGACTGGCAGTAATTTGTATAATAGTTTTTTGGCATTTTGTATCTTAGAATTGTCTTCCTTCAGCTTTGTGTATTCCGGCTGGCATGCTGGGAAATTTGGGAACGGAAGTTCAAAATATTTGGACAGCTTTGGGTTTGGGTTGGAAAAGTCTGGTGTTATTTCCACGTGTTTACAATTAAAGATTTGCTCTTGAGTCATGGTGGATCACCCACTAAGAAACAATATATCCCCATTCTGAGAGGGGAGGTAGGAATGTAACTGAACATCAGTTTGAAATGGAGGGAATGTAACAACACATACTCTGTCACTCGTGTCTGGCTGTGATTGGCTTCTGTGCCAGGCTGTATCTTTTTCAGGACACCACTTACAGTGGGTGATTCTTCGTAACAGATATTCCTCACTTTCCTTAGGCTAATCCACAATGATGTTCATAGCCCCAGCTCTGCCTTCAAGGCCCTCCTTAAGAGGGGTTTCCCAGCAATGGTAGCAGCCTTGCAATTCTTGCAAGGATGTAACATACTTAGAATTAAGTGCACCTTTACTTTGCCTTGCTAAAAGTTGGTATAAATGTGCCCGAAAAAAGGATCAGAAAAACTTTCTCTGCCAAAGTGCCTGCCCTTTGCAAAGCAGTTCCAAGAAAACAGAAACCTCAGCTGTACAAAAAGACAATTTGTTACGGAAAACAACTGAGGACGAGGGAAGGCAAGGCAGGCAGGCAGGCGGATACTTGAAGGAAACCATTTTAGCCAGAAAAAAAAAAAATAGAACATGCCACCCCAGCTCCCCATCTTTTCCAACAGCACTATTAACCAAGTTTAACCAAATCTTGTCCTTTGTGACAAAAGTGTTAACATCCCTCTCCAACCCTAATGGTCAAACCTCAGTGGCAGGATTTTTGTCCTGAAAATGGGAAATTCCCGCTAAGGAGATGTGGGAAACTGACCAAAAGCAGAGTGTTAGCATAAAGTTGGCATTGTGCGACATATTTCTTTTCAAAGAGAGGAACACTCAATCTCCTCTCAAAAAACCCAGAGGGGGGTAAAATAAAATAAAAGGATCCTGGCTGTTCCATAAGTGTGGCCCAGCTGCACCCACTTCATTTTATTACTTCCATCTCCCCTTAATTACTTCCCCTCTCCCCTCAAAGATTACAAAGGATGTCAGGCAGGGGCCCACCTTTACTTCTACTAGCATTTCTTGCCCTCTTTGCATCAGTCGTCACCTCAGAAGTCGAAGGATCATAAATTCCAGAATCTGTTTCTACATCTAAAAGAAAGTAGAAGACATCAAGTATGACAATACACAGAGACATGGTCTACTTTCACTATTAGGAAGGTGCTGCCCCCCAAATTCCCAACCAGGGATCCCTCTTTCTCACTCAAAACAATTTAAAGAAATATTTTAAGTAGCTGAAACCTCGCAAGATTCCCAAGTCTCGCCCTGTTGAATGTTCACAGGCAGAACTCAAGATGACTGCCAAAAACCTCATGATAGTTGACCATCTTGCAAGATTTGGGGTGATTATATTAGGGAGTGGTGCCCATGCCATAGGACAAAACTGGGCCTAAGTCTCGGGTATTTCCATAGTCTTGGCAGTGCATATTGTTTTTCTACAAGCAGGTAAACAGAATCCCAGGTGAGAAAGTCTTTGATTTACTCAATGAGCCTCTTAAAGCTTAGAAAATCATCTGGCAGAGTCCTCAGATGCTCCTCCTGGTTGGTCAGTGTTGTGTGTTAAGTGTCAGGAGTGTTTGCTCCCGGTAAAGCTCTTATCAGAATTATCAGCCTACTGGTAGCCAGTTCTCTTACCAATTTTCCTTAAGTTTTCCTCTTGTTCAGTCATCTCCAAATGCTGCCGATCAAAACTTTTGTCCATCCAAGTTTGCTTTTTCAACTTATTTGTTGTGATTCCTCTGCTTAGAAAAGAGTTTGTTAGTTTTAGTCATAGACTCAGTTAAAAGTTTTTCTCCAACTTCATTAGTACTCTAGAATTTTTCTCCTATTTTCTGTTGTTCTCAGTTAGATGAAAGAAGTATATGAATACCTCACCTGTAATTTTTCCTGGTATTCTTTCCTGGTTACAAAACATATCAGGATTCAGACTGTATGGAAAGAAAAGAATTTGGTATTACTCATTCCTGCACAGGAGTACATCATTAATGTATTATTGTAGAGAAGATACTTTCTTAAGCTACCATATTTTTCAGAGTATAAGATGCTCTCCAAAGTATAAGATGCACCTAGCTTTTGGGGAGGAAAATAAGAAAATATCTGCCTCTGCCTCCCAGCAATTTGCCTCCTTGCAGCAAACAGCAAACAGTCTGGTCAGCTTCAGCACAGCTCAAGTAGCACAAGCAGCTGATTGTCGGTTGGCCTCTGATCAGCTGTTTCAGGCTGCAGGGATTGCCATAGCCTATTGCCGCCTCCGCAGACCCCATTTTCAGCCCGTTCTGGGGGGGGGGGTCGGAATGGGCGGAAAATGGAGCGCACAGAGGCCAAAAATAGGATGCGGAAGCCGAAAATGGGGCGTGCAGAGGCAGCAATAGGCAATGGCAACCCCTGCAGTGTGAAACAGCTGATATCGGGAGGCCAAGCTGACAATCAGCTGATTGTACTAATCAGACTGTGCTGAAGCTGACCAGCCTCTGCTGTTTTCAGCAAGGAGGCAATTTGCTGGAAGGCAGAGGCCAAAGGGTGGGGGGCAGCGGGTGGGCGGGGCTTCGGCAACATTCGCTGTATAATACGCACAGACATTTCCACCCACTTTTGGGGGTAGAAAAAGTGCGTCTTATACTCCGAAATATACGGTAAACTTCTTCGATGTCTCCCCTCCACTGAATCTTGAACGGTGACAGGAATAGCCCCAGTAATTAATGTTCACTGTTGGAGGACATATTGAGTAAAATGCAGCAAAACTCACTTTACAACACTCTTGCTTAGCAACCAACATTTTGGACTCAGTTGTGGTTGTAAGTCGAGGACCATCTCTGCCTTCCTCTGCATGGCAGCCTTGTCCTAGTAAACACCTTCCCTTTTCTGGGAATTTTCCTCTCTGTTAAGAGGCACCAAAATAACCCAGACAATATAAGGTCCTCCCTCAAGAGGATTGGACTAGATGACCTCTGAGGTCCCTTCCAGCCCTGGACTGCTGTGCTGTTTCAAAGCTTCTTCTGAAGCCATGTCTAGTGCTAGGGTTTGTGTTCCTTCCTTCCTCTCCTTTCCCTCTCTCTCTCCTTTCCTCTCTCCCTCTATATCTCATTCACTTTCCCTTCTCTCCCTCCCTCTTTTCTTTTTTTCTTTCTTTCTTCCTTCCTTTTTCTTTCATTCCTTCTTTCTTTTCCTTCCCTCTACTGGTGGGCTTCAAATAATTTAATAATCAGTTCTCTGCCCAGTTGCTGGGTGGGCGTGGCCTAATCGGCTTCCTGCACCACCCTGAAAGCGAAAAAGGGCCGGGGGGGGGCACGTTTCCGGCCTCCCCTCTCCCCAAAGATTTCCTGTCTCTGCACTTTCCACTTCCTCTTATGCCTATGCTTACTTTTTCAAGCGTGGAGTTCAATAGCATAATTAACAAACGTTTAGAACAATTTTTCCTCCACAGCCCAACAACCACAAAGCGCTGGTGCCTCTGCTTCTTCATGCTGTCCACAAAGTGAAAGTTATCGCAAGACTAGAAAACACACATACTCATCAAAATGCAACAAGGTACTCCTCGCAATCATCTCATTACACCTGCCCTTGACAGCACTAGCAGCACAGGTGCACCCCGCTTGCAAAATACAATCCCCAAACGCCACAATTCCAGATATCCCTCTAACTAAACTAAATCAGCTAGCAGTACTTGACAACACTTGTAAGTGGGTCATAAGCTTGTAACAGAGAGGACATAGCAGGTGAAACTAGGCAAAATCACATCAGATACCTATACAAATAGCACAAGCCCCCCCCCCCAACAAGGCTGTGTGCTCTCTCCACTTCTCTATACATACCAACGACTGCATCTCAAAAGATCCCTCTGTTAAAGTACTGAAGTTTGCAGATAATACAACAGTGATTGGTTTCATTCAAGACAACAGAAGGGAGGTTGAACAACTAGTTTTGTGGTGCGACTGGAACAATCTTGAATTAAACACACTCAAATCTGTAGAAATGGTAGTAGATTTTAGGAGAAACCCTCCTATACTACCACCTTTTACAATACAAGACAACACAGTATCAACAGTTGAGACCTTCAAGTTTCTAGATTCTATTATATCTCAAGACTTAAAATGGACACCTAACATCTGAAAGTCATCAAAAAAGCATAACAAAGAATGTTTTTTCTGCACCAACTCAGAAAGCTCAAACTGCCCAAGGAGTTGCTGTTTCAGTTCTACAGAGGAATTATTGAGTCTGTCATCTGCACCTGTAGTTTGGCTCTGCAACAGAAGGAGGAGGGAGGAGGAAGAAGAGGAGGAGGAGGAGGAGGAAGAAGGAGGAGGAGGACCTGTATACTGCCCAAATCAAAAAGAGGGCTGTGAAAATATCTACAGACCCCTCACATCCTGGACAGAAACTGTTTCAACTCCTACCCTCAAAATGACTCTATCGAGCTCTGCACACCAGAACAACTAGACACAAGATTTTTCCTGAATGCCATCACTCTGCTAAACAATTCCCACAACACTGTCAAACTATTCACTAACACTGTATTCCTATTATTCTTCCCATCCTTCCTACTACCTATCTCCTCCCACTTATGACTATAACCTTGTTGCTTATATCTTTATATATAAATTATATATTTATATTAGTTTCCTAGTATGGTTTGATTGCTTATATAGTATCCTATGATTATCACTGTGTTGTATCTTATGTCTTTTGATGAATGTATTTTAATGTACTTGTAACGAAACTCTGTTTCCCCACCGCGAAGTTGTTGGAAAGCGATTAACCCTCAAATAGGGTCAGGAACGCTTCTAGACAAGCCTCAAAGGGAAGGCAGGGCACCCTTACTGAGAGTCACCCAGGAAACTAGCCGGACCCGGGGTAGAGAAGCTATTTAACGCACCTGCAAAGAGAAAAAGAATCGGTCGGGGACGGAGTTTTCTACTCTTTTTATTTGCTTCTCCCTTGTTCCAATCTGCGAACCAAAGCGCGGCTCGCAGGTGAAAAAAGGCGAAGACATCTATCTCCACGCCAACAACCCGGGGCAGTAGTTGCCTCAGGCGCCAAGAGCGGGTGTGGCCTTATGAGGACCGCGGGGGAAGCTTCTCCATCCCCGGCACACACCCAGAGACCCTTCCCCACCTAAGCTTTGCAAATTCCACCCCTCCCCTGGGGATTTCCTTCTTTCCTCAGGTTTCTCCCGCAAAAGGAGCCAAGCCAGACCCCGGCGACTTCGAGAACATTCGCCAATGTTCCGTCTTCTAGGCCCCGCCCACGCAAATCAAATCACCGCGGCGCAAGGGGCCCCGTGATTCCGGAACTTAGAGGAGTCCTGCTTGGAAAATAAAGCCCCCCCCCCAAACCTAAGTCAGGGGTCTCCAACTTTGAAACTTTAAGGCTTTTGGACTTCAACTCCCAGCCAGCAAAGCTTTTAGACTTCAACTCCCAGAATTCCTCAGCCAGCAAAGCTTTTGGACTTCA